AAAAAAAAGCAATTTTGCACGAAAAACAGACTAGCTTAAAGATCAAAACAGTTTTACAAACGCTCAACTCAGTTTAGTCAGATAGTCAAACCACTGAATGATCGAAATTAAGAATTTCTTGCCAAGTATGCAAGAGAAAAATAGCAAGAGTACTCTTAAGAAAATTTGCGACCAACTGTAAATTGCCGAAAAGCAGCATTGCAAAGTACTGGTCAAAGGTTTCTCAATGCCCAGAATCAGAATCTTCAACACCGGAATTTTCCTAGAAAATTGTTCATCAGTAGTTATTAATGGCTTTTTAAATAACGAATAATGCTACGTTTGGCTGATAAAAATTTCGTTTTTGAGCTATGAAAAGTGAAAAATAGAAAAGTGTTTTTTTATCATTAAAGCGCTTTCAATAAAGTTAGAAAGTAAAGATAATGTTGAAATTCCTACAGAAACATTTTAAAAACTAAGAAAATACATCTTTAAAAGTAAGTAAAATTTTTATAGTGAAGTTTACTCACTTGCTTTAAAAAGATCGAAAAATATAAATTGATAAGAGAAACAAACCGAAACTGGCAAAAAAAATGAACACCAAATTAAAGCGGACACATTTTAAAACTAAAAGAGATATGTTCTCACAATAATTGCAAAATGACTCGCGATTGTTAAAGCTAAAAACTCTTGGAACCTGAAAGAATTTTGCATTTTGATGAGATATAGTTGGCATGCAGTCCACTTTTCACATTCTCTCTTTCAGTAATCTACTTTTCACCAGAAACTTTGTTCTTCTTCTTTCCTTAGGTTTTTTTCCAGCACAGTATCCTTCATTCATATGCACGGAAAGTAGGTCTAAAGGGAAACTGATTGCAGATAAAAAAAAAGCGAGAAGGAAACTTTATTCGCGATTATCAGTTACTGTAAATACAATAAAAAGCACTCTGTAGGAAACTATGTCGTGCTCTACCGCTAAGAACCAGCAAAAAGTTTATAGTTTTTGTTGATCTTTGCTCAACGCTCCAACAAGTTACTTGTTAATAAAGAAAATATCATTAACTTCACTTACCTTCTTGGGGTTTTTTACTTTTCCAATTTATTTCAAAAGTGAATCTTTTAAGTTTTTTTAACCTTTTTTTACTGGTTGTTCTACATCATATCACTTCTTATACTACGGCTCATTTTAGGAAACATAAAATGTTATTGCTATGCCTGTCCGGCATTGCTAAACCAGATACAAGCCTTAGCTTTTTGGTCAGGTCGAGCGAATTTGGTGCAGGCCAGATAGGTGAGGCTTACTAATTCCTGCTTACCAGTGATGTTGCTCTTGAACAAAGAATTATAAAATTACTTTATTCTAAGCAAGATGAAAATTTCTAAAACTTAGCAGAAAAGTAGTACGAAAAAATGAAGTTCAAACTGTAGTGGCATTTTTCCCAATTTTATGTTTTAAAGTTCCAAATAGTACATTTGTAGATATCCAAAAACTTTGCAATAAAGTGGTAAATTTGGCATTTATAACAACAACCGAGCATCGAAATGTAGCATCTACATGCAATGCTGTAGTCCTGATTGCTTAAGATAAAATCGGAAACAAGATATATGAAAAAGTATTCAAAAGTTATAACCACGCTTCTTACTGCAATTGTTGCCTAATACTTTTTTTCTTTGCAAGAAAAATTAGTTTCATTATTAGTGAAAGCGTGCTTTCATTTTTTCTCATTTCTTTCTGCCTCTCTTTTTTTCAACTTCTCACTTTTTTAGGATACAAATAAAAAATCCCCTTATAAATTTTTTTTTGGAAAAGGTTAGCTCTACCGTAATCTTACAATAACTGATAAAAACAGCGCTAAATAAACAAATTCTAAGCTAAATAAGCTAATTCCTAACTAGAAATTCGTTTTTTTTTTATGCATTCTTTAAAAAACTTTGCTCTTATCGCTTTTTCTTGAAAACTCTTTAGCTTATTTTATCAAGAATGTTTTTTTAGCATTTTATAAGGTAACCATCAGCACGTACTTTTTGAATAAAATCAACTGTTTAGTAGCCTCTTTATAGTTGCTCCGCTTGCATAGTTTCTTCACCAGAGCGAAAATGTTTCAGAAAAAAAAAACTGCTGCTGTATGTACGTTAAAGGTTAACAACATGTCCCTGCCTACGATACACAGACTTGCTTCTACAAAACTTCTGCAGCACCAGTAAAATCTTCAGAAAAATTTTCAAATTGTTAGGAGCTCTATAATTATAATGACTGTAAATCAACAAAAGAAGATCTGCAGAAGCATATTGTATTTGGTTATGTTCTTTAGTTGCCACTTTCATTAGGACTGTGAAGTTTTCCTAACGTTCTGGTGGTTAAGTGTTAATCTGAATCTTAAGCTTTGTTAATTAAATCTTTATTACAAACGTGATGCTGTCAAGATTTAATGAGAAGCAGGCATCTCAACGCATAGTCGTGAGTGTAGCAACAGTAATAAAGAGCAGAAACAAACAACTGGACTTGCGAAACACGTAAAAGTATGTTGAGTAGCTATTAAATACTAAATTGGAAAACAAACAACTGATACTAACTGTTAGTAAACAATGATCCATTTATACCGGAACTGTCGCCTGACCCTCTGGCAGCGTTGTCATAGGCTGATCACTCCGCTTTACCGTTGCCCTGTTTGCCTGCAGAAAACCGTCTTCCGAGCAAAAACAAAAACCCAAGTTCAAGCTATAAAGTTGTTATTCTGAAAATAACAACTTTATAGCTTGACCTTGGGTTTTTGTTGGCGCGATGCATTTTCGGGAAAAAGCTTACGACTTCTTCGGTACATCTGTAATGAACTGTAAAAACTGATATTTATTTATTAGCAGTAAACGCAGTTACAGAAATTACTACCATCTGCAACAGTTTTACGTCAAACTGCAAATGCAAATGGTATAAAGTAAGAGTGTAATATTACCGTAGTGAATGCAGTAATTTTGGTTTGTGGTACTTAAAACTCAATTAGTCTTTTTCTCGTGACCACTTTTTTATTCGTATTTCTCCTTTTTTTCAGTTCTTTTAATTTTTTGTTATTAAAGAATTTTTGATGATCAGTTTCGCAGTTCTGTATTTGGCACTTATCAAAATAAATACAAGTATTTAATAACAGCATTTTCATAGCTTCTTTTTTGGCTTTTAGCGCTGCTTTATGCACAGTAACTTTTTTGAAACGGTAACTGTTTTCTATCATTTTCAATTGAGTTTACACTACTACTTAGTACTATAAGCTGCCATGAGATATTTTTTGAAAATAAAATTTGTTTTTAATTGGAAAGACTATACTGTAAAAATTTTTTGCTTTTTTGGAACTTCTTTAAATTGTTGACGGAGCTTGCGTTGCCTGAACATCTCATATCGACTACAATCACCAGTGAATTATTTGATCAGAAAAAAAAAAGCCAGAACTACTTTGAAAAATTCTTTTTCATCATAGACTATTGCTGCGATGCATAATAAATTTGATGCAAAAAGCAACTGAAAACCAAATAATATTAAAAGAACAAAGTTTTTTTGCAATTAAAAACGTTGACTTTAGATGTGATTTGTTTGATTGTTCAAATATAGTTTCCTTAATTGTTCTTCACGCTCCAAGAAGAACAGAAATCGTTAGCGTGAAATAGCATCAATATAGTTGCAAAATTTGGTAACTACTAATATTCTAATTTTCTAAGCAACAATTACGCTGGCTTTCTTTACGAATTTTTATAAGTATTGTCAAAGTGTAAATAACGTTGGGTATTTCACGAAGTAAAGAAATAGCCATGATTAAACATTGTAATGTAGAGAAACCGTTTACTGAAGTAGAGTTTGGAAAGTAGGTGAAGTGCAAAGTCGTATTTTTTGGAGACAAAAAGACTGAAAAAATGGTATTCTGTTTCAATAATTCACACCGTGCTTTATCTTGACATTATCTATTTTCGCTAGCTGAAAACTACGCTTTTTATGAAACTACTAATCTGTACCAATATAAAAAAGAAGAAAAGACGGGTTACAAATGACTAATTATTAAACGACTGAACTTGAAACCTTATTATCAATTTTCTAAACCCACTCAAAGACTTTTTTTACCTAACACTGTATTAAAACATTTTTTAAGCGGCTTCTGAGGATAACTTTCAGTGTAGTTGTCTCTCACTTTTCAATAAAGTTGCTACCTAAAAATCGTGTATGCCAAAACGTTAGGCTTTCAATACGTTATAAAAATAGCTGAATTTTTGAAGCTGATAGCGGTTTAGCATTGCTTCACTTGCATATTAGACGTTTCTGGTAGCATTCTCTGGAAAACTGTCGTCAACAACTAAAGTGTTTGCTTTGTAAAGTAATTTATGCATTCAGCCTTTATAGTATTTGTCATACCGCCTTAATCGCAACAAAAACTTCTAAAAAACGTCTTTTAAAAATTAGTAAACGGAAAAAATTTAAAACCTGGCAATGGGAAAGAAACTTATGTAAAAGAAACTGATGTGAAAGATCTCTGCAGTTGTGCCTGCTACTGAAGCAGCTCACCAACTTCAGCCTCCAGAATTTTTTACAGCAACGTTTTCTTTTTGCAAGTGAATTCCTAACCAAAAATCATTGCCTCATTCAACGCAAGCGTTCATTTATAAATCTGGTCTATTTTCTGCACCTTGGATTAAATTATTCAATTTTTTCAATTTTCAAATTTTTTTAAATTGATTAAAATAGATGTGAGATTTAAGTTGACCAATCTAAGTTAAAAAGCTAACCACTCAGAGGTTTTAGCTGAACACTCAAATTGTTTTAAGAAGCTTAATAAACAAAAGACTTACTACGGTGTTCACAACCGGTCTGTATTAGAAGAGTTTAGTTCATACAAATACTTTATTCTTAATTCAGAACAGACATAACAATTATGAGCAAATATTGATTAAGTTTTGATTTTTGAACATAAATTATCGAAGACTGTCAAGTTTACAATACTTTTGAGGCTTTTAAAGCTATAAATTAGAGATCAGATATTGCTGCTTTATCTGCGCTGCCACGTTATTTCTGCGATAAGAGGTTTGCTTGATGGTTCAATTTCTAAAGGTAATCGTGAATCGTACAGTGTTTGAGACTGTAGAAGTAATGACAAAGCTCCGAGAAAGTTGATCACTGTAAATAGTATATGCCAAAACCGGTCCATAGCTACCGCTACATAAGCCCATTCAGCAGAAACCTAAAGATTATTCGAGAATTTCATTTAAAATTACGAATAATTTGGAGTGGATGACAGATTTTTATATTTGATATAAAAAATATTTTTAAAATGTAAAATTGTCAACAATTTACTGCTTACTCGACCGTCATTTTCAAATGCACGAAACTGGTCGGAAATAAACGACAAGTTATCAATCATACGACGGATAAGATCGGGATGTAGTCCTCGAAGTTGTGCCAGCTGTGATAAACGTACGTCACCACTGTACGTTTGCAAGAAGTAGCTACTCAAGCGTCGTGAGCTTCTCGCGGAGGCTACTTTTGAACTACCGTCTAAAAGATTTACATTGGTTACTGATACAGATTCCCATTACATCGTACCTTGCTAAAAAACATTTATACTCTTGCTTATTTGATTTAAGTCACACCTGTAGGCCTTCCTTTGGCTTTCAAAAATATTTCTTGATTTGGTGGCTTGATAAGCAAATATTTTGGTAAGGTCTCCATATAAACAACACGCATCCATTTTGGCACTGGATTTGATGAAGCATCCCTAAAAATTGTTAACTTTTGAAAACAAAGCCAGAAGTTGGTATTGTCCAAATTTAAACCATTACAAATAGTTTAAAAAGTACTACGAACTGTTAATTAATTTTGAAGAAGTACATTCATAACGTTGCTACTTAGATCAGAACTGCTTATGTTTAATACATGTAACAACAAATGAAAGTTTTCTAAGACTTTAGATAGAAAAGAAATTTTATATAATTGTTTTCTGCTGTCAAACAGTATATAAAAATAGTTAACATATTTTATTGATTCTGCAAGTCAGGACAAAAAATACCTGTAAACTCGTACGGTATAAATAGAGATTACGATAGATGCAACAAGTAGGCATAAAGTTAGAAGTAGATATTTGGTAATAAGTGGCACTGCAACAGAACTTGGAGGAATTAGTTCCACCAGCACAAGGTAGAAAAAGGTTATGGCAACCAGTGTTTGCATTAAATAGGTCATTTTATGCTCTCGAGGTGGTATGTAAAAAGCAAACGTTGTCAATATTGCTGAAAAACCGGCTTTAAAAATTGGCAAAGCAATTTTTGAGAAATTACGATTTAAAACAAGAAAAAGCATACCGATAAGCATACAAGGTACGACGAGGTTCACCGTATAAAACAGTCCTTTTCGACGAATAACCAAATTGAAGCTAACATCAATATAGGCATCAGAACCACAACATCCAGGATATATTTTGACGTGTCGTTGGCTGGTTAAACTCATCAAATCCCATTCTGCACTTCTGAAGACAACAACTATATATGTTGCCAAGCGGAACAGATGAGCTAAAGAAAAATTATAAGGTTTTTTGACAACTTACGGATTGTAAAACGAGAGGTCCATTCCATGTTCTAAATGTTCGTAATTCTCGCCTTCCTCGTCAATTCTTTGCTCAGGAACATCTTGAGGATTAACCTACGAGAACAAAAAAATGAGAAATAATTAGTTTAATGGGGAAGAACCTTGACTGTAAATAAAAGATAAACAAGTTTGACGCCAGCATATAAACTTTCATCTTGAGAACAAATCGTTTTTCCAAACTTACTCTAAAATTAATGCATGCAAATAATATTTTAATAACACTGTCAATAAATTCTTTTTTGAAGTAAAATTTTTGGTAGTATTTTAACAATAAATAGCTTAGAAACTTACAGAAATTGATTCTTTTTTTCTTTTTAAAATTTAAAATTTTTAATTTATATTATTTAGTGATATACACGCGTAGCAGTTAAGTAGCAGTAGTATCTATAAAATTGAAACTTAAAGTCTGCAGAATTTGCGTGATTAATTAAGATACTATAACTAAAACAATTTTTCTGTGTAAAAGTGTCTTAGAACGTCTAAACTGTGAATCAACTGATTATGTTGTAACTTATTCATTACTAAAAAATTTGTAGAAAATATAGCTTCAAACTTCTAACATAACGCTTGTTAAGTTTTTCTGACAGTAAGTTTATAAGTTTTTTTTCCAATTACTTGTTAAGTTTTTCACTAAATTATTATTTTCTGCCAATGTTACTTGAAACTTTTTTATGTCGCTGGTCACCAACTTGTACTGTGATTCATCAATGAACAGGTGAATCATTGACTTACTGTTGAAAATGTTATTGTTTCATTAAATTTTCTAAAAATTAGTCTCATCTTTTATCTTTAGCAACAATTTTAAAACTATAAAAAATTTTTTTGATTACTGTAAATTATATAAACAAAAAAAAAGTTTCTTTTTTTTTGTTTTCAGTTAGCAATAACGATAAACCGGTAATTGTTGCACGTTAAGCAGATGACCTGTATATGTCCAACCACCAAATTTCATCACACAACTTTGTATATCGTATGGAAAATATTCAGTACTGATCTGGAAAAAAATTCTTTTTTTTCTTTTAAAGAATTACTATATTTAAGTTTTTATTCTTTACTGTTTTGGTCAGAATAAAAAAAACTGAGAGAAAAAAAAGCTGTTTCAATAGAACAAACATCAAAATTTATACTAAAGACAACGGTAAACCAGTTTCAGTGAAAATTTATTTTGCATGTTTCTTCAACTAAATTTCATCATTAAACAAGTTTTTTTAAATAAAGTATAAGCATTTTTTTTTTGGTAAACTAACATTACAAAAAGATTTGTAGATACTTGGAGGTTTCCATATAACAGCACCTGTATGGTAGACCAGTGCACTACTTACAATTGATATATGTGGTTCACCATAAGCACTATAAAAGTATACTGTTTTTTTTTTTTTTTT